CCCGGAAACCCAGACTCCACACCAGACGTTTTACTGCACACAACAAACTTAACAAGCACCATTAATAACATAAGCCTAACTAACGAACTTGGATCGGACCATCTAGCTATAACGTTTAACATAGACTTAAAACATACGCAACCTACCATCAGTACACCTCCTATAGAGAAAACGTCAAACTTAACAAAGACTGACATAGACAAAGTGAAACAACATATACATGACTACATTCAATCGCAAGCACAGCCCATTTCAATAGAAACCATACAAGAACAATTTTCACTAGCCATAGGCAAATTTAGCCCGGAAATAAAAAATGTTTTCAACCGACACACCCTACCCAAATTCATATTGAGACTTAAAATAAAATAACAGAGAACTTTACAGACTATACACTTACACCCACAATAACGACCTAAAAAAACACTAAACCTACTCAACAGGAACATTAAAACTCTGATTGGACAATACCGACAAGACAAAAAACACATAAAGAACTTATTAGAAAACAGACAACTACAAGTACGAATTGACAACACACTCTCCTTTGCTTTTTTTCCCTGAACAAGGGCTTCGTCCAAGGATTCTCTCACCCTTTCTCTACAATATATACTGCCATGACATATACAATTACAACTTACCAGACAAAAATCAAATCGACAGAACGGCATACATATTACAATACGCTGACGACACGGCACTTATTGTACACGACAAAACTACTGAAAAAGCGACTGAAAGACTTCAAACACTAACAAACAACACAATGACATGGTTTTATAAATAGAGACTAACGCCAAAGCGACAAAAAAATCAACTTCTGCTCACGAACCACAGACTCAACGCTGACTCGCCCACAATAACTGCAGACGGAAAAATAACACAACCGAAAAACGACGTAAGGTACCTTGGGATTACAATCGACCACAAACTGAAATTCACTAAACACACACGAAACATCAGAACCGAAATAATAAAAAGAACAAAACACTTTCGATCACTAACATACAAGGACAAAGGAATTAGTACCAATACCGCGACAAAAATATACAAAGCGATCTGCAGACCCCTCTTGGACTACGGACATATGCTCAGGGCCAACGGAACAGAAAGGATAAAACGATACGTACAAACAACAGAACAAATTGCACTAAGACTAATAACACGAATAAGACACCCCCAAAACCCACTGCACAACCCTTCCAACCAAC